TCATTCTCTTCTGCTTCATCTGTGTTGGGATGCTCAGGTCTTGCTGGTATGATTTCCCAAGACTCTGGTGGGGTTATATTGATCTTTCTGTTGTTGAGTGTGTTCTTATACTGTCCTCTCCCTATCCCTTCTTCCAGGGCATACCAGTGGGGTCTCTCCCTCTTCTCTCCTGGTGGGTACAGGACCAGCGTTCACTTCCAATGGGTGCAAGCAGATCCAATACTCCGATGGCTCTCCTCTTCCAGTCGGTGGTGGCAGGACTAGGGTGCTAGCAGACTCCAGGTTGGCTGGTCTGCCGGCATGGGTTACCCTGTGTGCAGTCCCCAGTCCTCAGGAGGCTCTGAGCAGGGCACCGGAAGGTGGGCTCCCCTGATCAGTTATATTTATGTCCATGGATTAGTGTTGCTCTAAGCTGAGAGAAGCTTTTGTGAAAGAGGAGTGGTGACAGCAGAGGCTCATACCTGGCCAGAGTCCTGACAGACAAGATGTTGAGTGCTCAGTCTTAAATAGGACACATACATCACCCCTCCCAAGACTCAGAGAACAATGTGGAAGAATTGGCAGAGAGAATGTGAGAGTCAGGGGAACAAGAAGAGGTGTAGAACCCTGGCTCCTGGACTCTTGAACTCCAAGCAGCCATAGTTACCATCACAAGGTCTGGACAAGACAGTGCCCTTCAACAGCCTGTCACAGAGGGCACAGGGGCTTACTGGGCCCTCCCCCTGGGGGGATCATAGGCAGTTAGTGGTTCCTGTAAGGAGGGAGGAACATTTTCTCCAGTGATACTGTCATTGTCAAGGTGGCCACACTAAATGACCCCAATTAAACTCATAGGGTCACTGAAAACAAGACATGGAAGCAGAGAGGGGACTGGCAGAGAAGAGGAAGGGAGCTGCACGAGCTGGGGGAGACAAGAAGGGGCAATGGGGGTGAATATGATCCAAATGCATTGTAGGTGTATGTGAACATGGCATAAACCCAGTATAAAATAGGCTAGTAAATAATGCTAATAAATACTCCAGAATCTGAAGAGGGAGAGGGGAGAGAAAAGAGAGAGAAAAGAAGTCTAAGGACATAGGATCATAGGGAGGTCACAGGGTGAGCTGAAAATGACTGGATGGGACACAAAATGAGACATTACTCCAGAAGATGATGGTGGCCAGGGAGAGGCCAGGACACACAAGGTGACGCCCCAGGGAGAAGTCAGAGAGACCACAGGCTGTGACTAGCAGGGCTAATAAGAAGAAGGGCCAGGAAGACTGTGAGAGCCCAGGGCCAGACAGGACCAGAGCAAACCAAGGTCTTCCCAGCATTGGGAACACAGCAGCTGTGGTCGCTGCACCAGATCAGAGCAGTCAGCCTTGCAGCAGGGAGGGGAAGGGGCTCATGACCACACCCCTGACTGAGGAGCTGTGGACAGTTGATGGCCTCTGGGGGAGCAGGAGAGAGAGGCCGCTAGAGGGATATGGTTCATGACAGGTCAACCGCCCAGAAGTACATGAACAGCTCAAGTTGGAGTTGATGGTTATGAGCGAGAAAGAGAGAGTTGGGAAGGGTGAGTGAGAGGTCTGAGGGAAGTAAAAGGAATGAGTGAGGAGTGAATATGATAAAGTACATAATACAGGGGGTGGAGAGGTGGTCCCGAGGTTAAGAGCAGTCATTGCTCTTCCAGTGCATTTAATTCCCAGCCCCCACACGGCAGCTCACAACCATCCATCACTGCAGTTCAGAAGATCTGATACCTTCTTCTGACCTCCATAGGCACCAAGAGTACATATGGTGCACATACATACATATAAGTAAAATACTCATAAAACAAAAAATAAATGTTTTAATTTCTAAAAAAAAAGTACATTGAAAAGTACATAAATGAAATTATTGAGGAATCAATTAGAAGATATTTATACTTTTAAAAAAGGAAAACCAAACAAGAGAAGAGGAACCATCCTGAGTTCTGGGGGTAAGCTGTCCCTTTACCTGGAACCATAGTTGCCATGGTTACCAGAAACTCAGAAAGCAGAAGTCTGCAAGTCCTGTTTACTGTTTATCTTAGTCAGAGTGAGGCAGGAGGCCATGACCCACGATGAGGTAAAGCTTCTAAGAACCAGAAAGGGCATGGAAAGTGAAATACAGCCCATCCTTTTCAGTGTGTGTGTGGGGGAAGGGGAACACTCAAACGGGGTAACACTCAAACATGCATTAGGCCAAATGTCAGCCTAATATCCTCCATCAAGCACCATCCACCTTCCACCCCTCCAAGTCCCCCACACCTGCCCTCTCCCCCCAGATCCACTGCTCCTCCGTTTCCCTTCAGAAAAGGGCAGACCTCCCAGGAATGTCAACCAAACCCAGCAAAACAAGTTACCTTACCAAGGCTCGATGGGGTGACCCAGTAGGAGGAAAAGTGTGGTGAGAGAGCAGGCAAAAGTGGCAGAGACACCCACTCACACTCACACTGTTGGGAGTCCCACAGGAACACCTTGCTAACAACCATAATTTGTGTGCAGAGCACGTAGTGCAGACCCATGCAGGCTCCATGATTGCCGCTTCCGTCTCTGTGGGCCCCTGTGAGCCATGTTTAGTTGATACCTTGGGCCGTGTTACTGTGGTTTGTATTAGTCCTTGAGAATTTCCTACATGCATGCAGTGTATTCTCCCCTCCCCATTCACCCACCCTTATCAACTCAGTGGCCTCCTTGCTGGTTATCCCCCTTGACTGTCAAAGTCAAACTTGCATTACTCACATACACATGGGTGTGTTTCCCTAAGACAGGGTCTCTCACCAGCCTAGAACTCAAGTAAAAACATGGGTCCTCGTGTTTGTGGGGCAAGCACTGAGCAGACTGGGCCAGCTCTGTTCCCACTTTGCTCTTCTATCCAGCAACCCTGAGGAAAAGCACAACCGTCCAGAGAGATGCTGGCTACCAACTGGGACTTCAAAAGGATCCAAGATCCCACCATCCACCTCTCTCTCTCCTTGCCAATGCCACTCCAAACCACATAGGCTGTGTGGTTATTCTGTTCTCTCTCTCTCTCTCTCTCTCTCTCTCTCTCTCTCTTCCATTGTATGGTGCAAACCATAATTTGGCATGCATATTCATCATGAAATGATGGAAACTTACAGAAATTAGCATCCCCAATCCCCCTCAACAGTTTTGTTTTGTTTTCAGTTTGTCTCACGCAGTGTGCATGTGGAGGTCAGAGGACAACTTGCAAGAGTTGCTTCTTGCATTACACATAAGTCCCAGAGGTCAAACTCAAGTCATCAGAATTGGCAACAACACCTTTTCTTGCTGAGCCATCTCACCACCTGCCCACACCCCTTTACTGTGGTTTTTGAGACAGGGTCTCTCTCTTTAGCCCTGGCTGTTCTGGAGCTTGCTCTGTAGCCCAGGCTGGCCTCAAACTCAGAGAGGTCAGCCTGCCTCTTCTTCACAAGTGCTGGGATTAAAAGTGTGCCCCACAGGGCCCAGCAAACACAACTTTTTAATGACTTTTTGTATGTGCCACCTTGCCCAGTTCATGTTTTTACTAACACATACACTACTTCCATTAGCCCACCCTCATGGTACAAGTTTGTAATCCCAGATGTTCAGGAGGCTGAGGCAGGAGGATTAGGAGTACAAAGCCTTAATTGGCTGCATAATGAGGCCCAGGCTCAAGAGCAAAGGGGAAGGGGGCATCTGGGGAATAGGACTCAGTCAGTAAAGTGTTTGTTGAGCAAGCATGGGAACCTGAGTGTGCTGGTCAGGTCATTTAAAAATCCAGGCTCTGGAATGTAACTCTATATTCCAGCCCTGGGGAAGGGGAGGTGGTGGAGACCAAGGTGGTAGACACCGATGGATCCCCAAGGCCCATTGGCCAGCCAACCTACATACTGAATGCCAAGACCATGGAAGAACCTGTCTTAAAAAATAAAGTGGAATCCTCTCCGCGAGACTTAGGAGACTGTAAGAGCCCAAGGTCAGGCAGAACCAGAGTGAACCAGTGTCTTCTGCACAGGACAGGACCCCAGCACTCAGGAACACAGCAGCTGTGGTTTTTATGCCAGATCAGACCAGCCAGCCTTGCAGCACGGAGCGGGAGGGGCTCATGACCACACCCCTGACTCAGCAGCTACAGACAGTTGATGGCCCCTGGGGGAGGGAGAGACAGCTTCCTAAGGGTATCCCCGCACCCCCTCCCCGAACATGGAATGGTCATGTTCCATTCGATTTTCACATACCAAGGACTACACGGACACCTCAAAATGGACTGGATGGGTTATTGTTACTGGGTTAAGAGTGGATCTGGGAGATGCGGGGCATACAGACCGAACTTGAACCCAGGCGCCATACCACTCACGGACGCTAGATGACAGCACAGGATTGCAAGTGAGCGCTATGGGGTTAGAAACCAGGGCCTCCCAGCACTGGGAGGAAGAGGGAGAGAACACGACCTGCTGGAGTACTAGGGACAAACCAATCCCGTGCTTGACTCCATCGCACAGAATTCCACCATCAGAACGGCCATTCCTTTCAAAAATGCATTCCTCTTTTAAAAAAAGTAAAATTGTCCAGGACACCAATTCAACAACCGAAGCTCAGATCCTCCTAGAAATCACTAGAGATAAAAAATAAGTTTTAAATATTGTTTTTAAGATATGCAATCATAAAATATTTGGAGGGCAATGAGATAGTTCAGCGAGTAAAGGAGCTTGCCACAAAACCTAAAGACCTAAGTTTGCTCCCCCAGAACCTACGTGGTGAAAAGTGAGAATTGACCTCCACGAGTTGTCCTTTGACCTCCACGTGCTGCCGCGACACACGTGTGCCCACAAATCAAATAAATTTAATAAACTTTTCAAATAAGTTAAAGAACCACCCCCACGCCAGTAGTGCTGCTGTCCCCTATAGAAAGATAAATGGAGGCGTCAGAAGTACCAGGGTTCCTTTCTGATGGCCTCTCTGGGCTCATATACACAGACTTGTGAGCAAACACACGTGAGCACACCCACAGACAGGTGCAATCTCTTCCCTCTCGCCTTTGCAAGCAACCGCCAAGTAGCAGACATTGTAGTTACTGCGATGTACACCAGGGGGAGATCGTGCTTTTAATTTACTGCGGTCTGCCTTGGACCGGTCCTGCCTGGGTTTGATGGCTGCCTCTGCATTTGAATTCTGCATCCAATTTCCCACGTCTTCATCCATATTTTCAAATCCATGGAGCAGCTGAGGGAAAGTATTTGAGGATTGGCCTAGTTTCTATTGCTATGATAAAATATCCTGACCAAAAGAAGGTAGTTTTGGAGAGAAAGGGGTTGCTTGATTTTACAATTCCAGATTACAGCCGTTGTTGTCGGCAGTCAAAACAGACACCTCAAACAACTGGTCACATGATGACCACAATCAAGAGCAGAGAAATGAAGGACCTACGTGCTCCCTTCAGGGTCTAGAACCTCATGCCTAGGAATGGCGGCGCCCACCGTGGGCTGGGCCTTCCCACATCAGTTAACACAAATCCCGCCCCAAGACATGCAGCAGGACAAGCCAGTGTAGACCGTCCCTCCCGGAAATTCTTCCAAGGTGATTCTAGGTTGGGTCAAGTTGATAATTAAAACTGAGCATCACAAAGTTGTCTCTCTGTGTGTCTCTGTTTGAGAACAACGTGATTGACATGTTTTGTGGTTATTATGGGTGAATAATATCCCAGTTACCTTTGTCAACCTAATATAGCCTACAGTCATAGGAAGCCTTGACTGAGGAATTACCAGATTGGATCGACCTGTGACTATGAATACAAGAGGTTGTTTGGATTGAAGATTGATGCAGGAGGGCCCGCCCCCCGCTATGGGCAGCACCATCCCTAGGCAGGTGGGCCTTGGGTGAGTAATGAAGCTTACCAGGAGCGGGCTAGTCAGGGAGCAGCCTTTCTCTATGGTCCTGGCCCCAGGTTCCTGCCTTGACTTCCTTTGGTGATAGACTATATCACAGCCACAGAATGAAATTAGGATGAGTTGATTCGTGTCTTTGTGGCTGTGTTCACCAGCTACATACACATGCATATGTGTGTGTTCATGGTTCAGACACCTTCCCATGTGGGTACACTTGTCTGTGTGTATGTGTGTGTGCGTGTGTGTATAATGCCATTCCTCAGGGTCCTTCCTCCTTATTTCTTTGAGGCAGGGTCTCACTGCTCAGGAATTCACTGATGCCCCCAGGCTGAGTGGCCAGCAAGCCCCAGGGGCCATGCTGTCTGCACCTCACCAGCTCTGGGATTGAAAGGTCTGTGTCATCACACCTGGCCTTTTTATGTGGGTGCTGGGACCAACTCAGGTGCTTTTATGTCCATGCAGTGAGCATTTTCCCTCTGAGGCACCTCATCAGCCCCTTATCCACTTTGTGAGCCATTGCGGCCTAGAAGCTTTTGATTGGTTGCCATGGAGACAGTACTTTGATCGATGACTCTAAATTTCTGTGGGCTCTTGTATTGGCCATTTTTTTTTTCCTCATTGACGGAACAGACTCAACATAAGGAAAGACTTACATTAAGTCTCACCAATATGACTGCCTCAATGTGACAGCGTGCTGATGTAACAGTCTGGGGGTTATGGGGGGGACCTCAAGGCCTCAATGCTACACAAAGAACTACAGGCAACTGAGGAATGCTGTGAGTGGAGAAATATTCTTCACTAGGCAAGAGCATACCAATTGGTTATGAAATACCAAATGGTCAGTCCTGACAACATACATACAAGTGATAGTACACAGGCTGAAAGGGTTAATATTCAGGAATATATGTAAATATACAAATATGCATGTAACAATTAATTTTAGAAAGAGGAGATAAATATTAACAAGAATGAGAAGGTATATGAGACGGTTTGGAGGGAGGAAAAGGAGAGGGTTAAATGATAGAATCATATTATAATCTCAAAATAAAATTATACACACAAAAGGAAGGGCTTATTTTGGCTCAAGGGTGGAGAGAGAGAGAGAGAGAGAGAGAGAGAGAGAGAGAGAGAGAGAGAGAGATTCACATATATGCAAGTGCTCACACCCTCGCTGTGCAGGCCACAGATGGCTATCACTCCCCATTTATTCCCCTGACACGTGGTCTCTTGCTGAACCCAGAGCGCAGCTGACAGCCAGAAATCCCCCTACCTCCACCGCTCAGAGGGCTGGTGTTACAGGTGCATATGGTCAAGCCCAGCTTTTTACTTGTGTGCCAGGGATTCAAACTCAGATTCTCCTGTTTGTGCAGCAAGAGCTCTCAACCTTTGAGTCATCTCCTCGGCCACATCATGATTCTGTGCCTTCAAAAAATTACACCCCTGTCTCTCTGGTACAGAAGGGCACAATCATCCCCCAAGTGTGCAGTTAATTTCCCAGGAGAGACAACCTCCAAGTCTCCATTGTCTCATCCACCATTCTCCACTGCCCACAGAGCTGTATCTAACATTGGGTCACAGAAACACTCAATATGGTGGCATCTTCCTGCTTGATGTACTCTCTGAGGTCCTGTCCAATCCCTGGCCACCCATGCTAACACTTCTTTTACTTGTGCTTGGTAAGGGTGATCCCGGCCAATGGAAAGAAATCCACCACAAAAGACAACTCCTGACTCTTGACTTAATCTAAAGTATTGTGCATAAAGCCCAACCAGATAGGAATTGCCAAGACCTGGGGCAGAGGGCGATGAGTTATGTAATGCAAGTAATGAGAAAGTTATGGAAGGTGGGTATTGGTACTGGAGGCATGAATATACTTAGCAATGGTTAAAATACTCAGAATTGCAGGGATGGTAAAGTGCATGCTGTGTTTAACCACAATCTTAAAATAAAATCTATTCGATAAGAAAGAGTTGCCAAGGCATGAATAATATATGTTGAAGAGAATAGGTCTGATGTCCAGGCCGTTTCTGAAACAAAACCAACAATGCAGAGGGCGGGAGTGGGAGGGGCTAATGAGGCCCCACCCCTTCCTGATGACTGATGGAGTTAACAGTTGAGAGGGGACAGTCTTGTGAGGACCCACCCTTCCTGATGACTGATAGAGTTAACAGCTGGAAGGGGAGGGACAGGTAAGACCCCACCCCTTCTTGGGGTTGATAGACAGTTAAAGATCTCCAGGGGACGGGTAGACATTTCTTCAGTGGTGTAGCCACAGGTCAGTGGCCCACATTTCTGTAAACAGCTTCTCATCCCAACCCTGATGGAATCCAGTGTTCCATCAAAAACAGACATGAAAGCAGAAGGGGGACTGGGTGGGAAGAGGAGGGGATCAACAGGAGTGGAAGGGGACAAAGAGGATGATGGAGGATATGGTCAAAATACATCATAAATGTAGGGAAATACCATAGCAATACCCATTATTAAGTAAAAGTAATATCCACTAATAAAGACATCTAAAAATAATGGGAACCTGAAGCCAAGAGGACAGACAGACAGACAGACAGACAGACAGACAGGAAAAAATAGCTTCAATCTGAGGTGGTAAAGAGATGGGATCCTGTCCCCACAAGTCCACCCACAGCCCAAATAGGGCACCATGAGAAAAGAGAGTCAAGAGTCCTCTGGGCTAGGTAAGGTTGAGACTCAGCGGGTAGAGCTCTCTCCCAGCATGCAGAAGACCCTGGTTCCTATCCCCAGCACACAATAAACCAGCCATGGTGACACATGCCTGCCATCCCAGCACTTGGGAGGTAGAGGCAGGAGGATCAGGAGTTCAAGGTCATCCTTGGTTATATAGTGAGTCCATAGCCAGTGTGAGACTCATGAGATCCTGTCCCCAAAACAAACAGTAACAAAATAAATAAAAGAAAATTAAGGTCTCTTCCACAGGAGCAATTTCCTGCCTAGAACTGTGACCCTAGTCAAAAGCCCTTAGCTGGGAGGTCATGACATAGGGGTGGGAGGTCATGGCCCATGGTTTGAAGGTCATGGCACAGAGCTTGGAGGTCATGGCCCAAGGCTTGGGGGTCAAGGGCCTGGGGTAGCACCTAATGGTGTTGCTTTCCTAAATGTTCATGTGATCAAAGCACCTTCTAAATATTTATGTGCACACCCACAGATCCAGGACAGCCCACAGCCTGGGTCACAGAACCTTCCCTCTGCCATGGACTAGTCAGTAGAGAGATGCATTATTGGTCAATGTTCTGAGAATACAAGATGGAGTGCTGGTCCCTAAATGGGACAACCATATTAACACCACCACCACTGAGTCAGCAAACGTCACAGAAGAGGAAGTAGGAAGGGTGGGGAAGTGTGTACTGAGACCTGGTCTTCTGGACATGGCATAGCGATGACACCCAGGAACTCACAGTGGCTGTGGGCACCTGCATAAGACCAAGCCAGCAACCACAGCGCCAGCACAGACTCAAGGAATTCTCCAGGCCTCTCCCCTCACTGTGGGGCTCTTGGCAGTGGTTGCTGGGAGAGGGGGTCATTCTTTGCTGAGGGTATGGCCACTAGGAGATGTTCCTCACTCCAGTAGATGGCCCCACAGCCCTGCACATATGGTTAGCAGTAACTAGACTAGGTGGTGGTTGTTTGTTGTTTGTTCGTTTTAAGACATGAAGTTAGAAGAAGTGTTGAATGAAGTACAGATGGAGTTGGAGGGAAGACATGAAAGGGTATTCCTGTTCATATATCACTGTATACATATATGAAATCCTCAAGAATAAAAAACATTTTTAAGGCTTGGCAATAGTGGTGCATGCTTTTAATCCCAGCACTCGGGAGGAAGAGGCAGGAGGATCTATAAGTTCAAGGCCAGCCTAGTCTACACAGAAAATTCCAGGAGAGCAAGGGGTACAAAGAGGAAACCCTGTCTCAGAAAAGAGAAAGGAAGGGAAGGAGGGAGGAAGAGAGGGAAGGAGAGAATGAGAGAAAGGAAAACAGAAAGGAAGGAAAGGAAGGAAGGAAGGAAGGAAGGAAGGAAGGAAGGAAGGAAGGAAGCATTTTTAAACATTGTTTTATGGGTGTGGGTGTTTTGCCAGTATGTCTGTGTACCATGTGTGTGGAACCTCCAGAGGCCAGGAGAGGGCATCAGATCCCCTGGAACTGAAGTCACAGATAGCTGAGACATGCCATGTGGATATGGGGAATTGAACCCCAGTCCTTTGCAAGAGCAGCCAATGCTCTTAACCACTGAGCCAGCTCTCCAGAATAAAGAACTTTGGGGATGGGGACATCGAAACAGGGTTTTTC